TGATGCTGCCAATTGGTCCAGTGGTGAGAACCTTTGTCTTCTTGACATTGAGCCTCAATCCATATTGTAGGCTGCAGTCCTTGACACTCTGCAGCAGAGTACCTTTGTTAAAAAAATATAAAAAGACCATAGACATATATGGGTTTATTCCTGGACTCTCAACTCTATTCCATTGGTCCATATGTCTGTATCACAATAGCAATATCAGGTTGTTTTGATTTTTTATTTTAGGGTTTTTTTAATAACTATTTGATAATCAGCTGTTTTCATCCACATTGAGAGTCTAAATTTTTTAACGTGGTGAAAGGTACATAGGTAACCAGTATATTCAGCTTGTTTGGGGAATCTTCATCCTCATTACGTTTTCTGGACAATCGTACACGGATGCGGTATGGGACATTCCTTATTCCTTTGGCCCAGATGGTTTTATTAAGCCAGGTGTCAATGCAAACATCTGGTGTTCCCAACTCCTTCATTGGCAAACTTCCGGATCTCCTTGAGTGCCTGAAGAGTCCACTTCTTAAATCCCACTCCATGGATGCCCTTGTGCATGTTGACGGTGGACATTGCTTTGCTGATGGCAGAACGACCTTTCTCACCACCATTCTTTGTGGGGGTCATAGCGCCAGGACCAGGCTGGAAAGCCAGGTTGTTTTCATTACTACAGACTTATAGCATGTTGTGAAATCAGGCAGTCTGGGTTGTCCTACTTCATGAATCTTTTCCAAGATTGCTTTGGCTTCTTCAGTGCCCCATATCCTCTTTTAGGAGCAACCTCCAGAGCTTTTTGAAATACTAATAGCCATTTCCATTGTTTCAATGTTATCACTTGATGTATTCTTTCACAAGAAAATGGTTTCAACTGATCAAAGGACACATCCAAATCCCACTCCCAGCCTGCAACCCTCTTGCCTCAAGTTAGAAACACTCATTTGTGAACAGGACCAGGGAAGGGCCTTTTAGTTCATTCATTTTCCTCTTGTACTTCATGAGGAAGAGTCACTCCCATGTCAACGGCCTGTCAAAGGTGTCTGCAGCCCCACTGGTGCCTGTAGCCACTGGCCCAGCTCACTTATGTGGCATCTTCTGCCTAGAAGACCACACCCATCTTCTGATCTAGCGCCCATGCTGACCACTGGACACCTCGTCAAACAAGTACTCCTCAACACATTCCTTTAGGACTTACCCTCTAGGAGCTCCTACTATCAACGGAATTGTATCAACTAGGCATCCAAGACTCACCCACTGGTCAGACCAGACTTCCCAGCACGATGAGTCCTACTTCCAAACTCTCATCACAACCCCCTCCACCTCTCCAATCCCAAACAGGGTCCTTCCGCATTCAGACTTACTGCACGCCGGCTGGTTCCCACTCAGGGTTACATACTTGCTAAGACCATCACATACTAATTCTATTTGCTGTAATTATCTCCTCAGAGAATTTTTTCTTTTTTGTGTCTCAGCTGCCCTGTTGGATAAAATGCTTAACGGCACATGGTTCGACTCCACCAGCTGCTCCACGCAATCTCCTCTTGTGCAATTAACTGCCTCTGAAAACCCACTGGAGGGTCAGCATAATTCAGTGTCTGGGATCCCCATTTTTCTAAATGTGATCCATAATCTATTATAATCCACACAGTCAAATGCCTTTGCATAGTCAAACACAAGTCAACATTTCTTTTTTTTTTCTATATTTTATTAATTTTCATAAACATTTACAGAGATTTTGGGTTTCCATTCATTC